ATATGCATCACTTTGGTTTTTGTTTTACTGTAAAAAGGTTATTTACATTTAAATGCACAGTATTTTGGATACCCGAGCTATAGGTATTTTACATTGGTATCATATTTTTCATATGACACATGTACAAGTTATAGCTCAAATGAAAGCTCTGGGCGGTGCTCATACGGTTCTATCATTCTTTTTACTGAATTATATTCACATATCAAACAGTTGCCGAATGAATCGCGGTGTTTCCATGGCGCAGAAGTGAAAACAATACATTTATGATCAATAAGCAGCCCCAGATAGCACAGACAGCTGTCATCTCTTACCTTATGCTGTGTGCTTTAGGGCCATTTCTCCTCTGTTTTTGAGGTGATGTGCATAAGTAATCCTTTTATATGTCTGACGTGGTCCAAACACAGTGAATTATGTTTGATCAAACAAAAGAATAGTGAAATATGAAAACAATGATCGATCCCTGTGGCTTCTACAGCACCTCTCATCAGTTGGAATACAATAACTTTTGCATAGATTATGGTGGAGACATTTTTTTTTTCTTATGATTACAGACATGTGCAGGAACCATCAAAATTAATTACAGCACCCTAGACCACACACAACCTAAAAGGTGCACTTTCAAATTTAAGTTTATAAAAATAAAAAAAAATACAAAAAGCGCCTCTTTTTTAAGGTGTTTATTATAAAACAGACATCAAATACAGTTATTTTAAACACTTTCAATAGGGTTTTATGAAAATTCAAAGGGTTTTCTTTATAATGATACCAAATTCTTGCATTTACACCTCTGCATGTGGATTTGGGAAGCTTTTAAATTTTGGTAGGCAAAATCCCGGTGGAAATCCCAAAATAACAGCAGAGTTTAACTAGTTAAATTTGCCATTAAATCAAAATGCACTCAGGTCACAATTCAAGCTATTAACAAATCATTAACTAACACTACTGGGTTATTAAGCTACTAATTATCTGTTTATTAATTGTGAGTAAGGTAGAAGTTGGGTTTAGGTTTTGGGTAGGATTGGGGTTGCACGATAAGATCATACTTTATAACTACTAATGAACAGTTAATATACTAATAATAGACAGGTAATAAGCCAGTAGTTAATAGCATGAATTGTAACCTAATCTAAAGTGTTAGAATATAATAGTTCTTGATATAAACAATGTATCTGTTCAATTTGTTATTATGTAAAAAATGTATTTGCCCTAACACACTTTAATCAAATATAACCTTCCCATGTGGAGCTAGATCACTTTTCACATTTACAAAACCAATTCATAAGTTCAAAACACAATACAGAAAAATACACCATTCCAATTTATTAATTCAGAGCTGATGAGCAGCGCAGTGGCGCAGTGAAGGTCACCGCAAGAAGGTCGCTGGTTCAAGACTCGGCTGTGTCAGTTGGCATTTTTGTGTGGAGTTTGCATGTTCTCCCTGTGTTGGCGTGGGTTTCCTCTGGGTTGCAGCTGGAAGGGCATCTGCTATGTAAAACATATGCTAGATCGGTTGGCGGTTCATTCCGCTGTGGCAACCCTAGATTATTAAAGGGACTAAGCCGAAAAGAAAATGAATGAATGAATGAATTAATTAATTAATTAATGGATCCTCAACTTGGTTGCCAGAACCTTTGATGTTACAAAAACAATTAAAAAATACTCAAATCCAATTCTAATATACACAAATCCAATTAATTTGGTGAAAAATTTACGATTTTTAGTTGTGAGTTAGGTGTTCTATTTATGAATTGTGTTTTGAATTTACAAATTGGATTCTTAAACTGAATTGTGCTCTGCATGAATGAATTTTTTTCGTAAATATATTATTTTTGAGACTAATCTGACTCCATACAATACAAACTTCTTCATCTACAAGTCCTCAAAATCATCATTAAGCAATTGAAAGTAGCAGCCAATGGAAATCAACCCTGTCTTCGTCAATTAACAATCAAGTAGAGAAAAGATTGTTTAAACAAATGATTATACAGCCCATCATGTCTACTTATAAATTGTATCGCCTCTAATGCAAGCTTTACATTTGAATGACCTCAGGCTATAGTTTCCTAAATATATTGCACATTGATGCCAGTCTTAACATGTTTACACATCTCATAACTCTTCAATCCCATCTGACCTACACATGGGTTCAGGTGCAAGCATGATGATTAGAGCTACTCGGGAAATCCAGCCTTACGGAAAACACACTTACAGCTGTGATTCATTTGCCGATATACATTCAGGACTCGAGGAACACATGTGAGAGGCGAGCAGTAAATTCTTCGCTTTCTAAAGGATTGTGAACTTGCCATTACGTAACAAGAACAACAAATGCTATCTGATGAGTTTCAGCTGCTTCGATTTCCACTTGTTAATCAGAGCTTGATTAAAACGCAGCCGGATTAATCAAGTTTTCTAACTACGTCATACTTATTTAACTTTAAGGTCCTTTCACTTTTTACATGTAAATCTCATGGGTCCCCGGAATGTGTCAGCTCAAAATACCCCACAGATCATTTATAATACCTTAGTATAAATGACTTTTATTTTGGGTAAAAGTCACGTTAAATGCAAATGAGTGTCTTAAAATGCAAATGCAAAAGGTTGGAGCCTTTACAACTTGTGCCTTGGGTAATCCACTAACAAACCAGATAGATAGATAGATAGATAGATAGATAGATAGATAGATAGATAGATAGATAGATAGATAGATAGATAGATAGATAGATAGATAGATAGATAGATAGATAGATAGATAGATAGATAGATAGATAGATAGATAGATAGATAGATAGAGAAAGAGAGAGAAATAGATAGATAGATAGATAGATAGATAGATAGATAGATAGATAGATAGATAGATAGATAGATAGATAGATAGATAGATAGATAGATAGATAGATAGATAGATAGATAGATAGATAGATAGATAGATAGATAGATAGATAGATAGTAAAGGATGGATGGATGGATGGATTTTAATATGAAACTGCAACCAAATTACATAATGAATCATTGAATTGTTTGTAGTTCAGTCATCAATCAGTAATGAAACATTTCTTTAAAATAATATTTATAATGCTAGTCACTTAATATCAACATATTACATAACATTGAATTTATGAAAATAATTCGCTTATGATACTTGCGTTAATATGTTACATAAAAACCAGGATCTCATACAAGTGCTTTTTGCAATCAGATTTTGAATTATGATGACATTTCGATTAATTTAAGTGACATTTTTGTCACAATTCTGATACCTCTTAATCCAGCTCAGTGGGGTTGTTAGAGAACACTCCCTGCCCAAAACGTCTGTGTAAGTGGAGTGTTTTTTTCATGTAATGAGTCCTAGTGGCTTATGTGTGTACAATCAAGAGGTGACCTGAAACCGGTGTGTAACTGCAGGAGATGATGGGATATATAGTTTGGTTCACATAGTGCTTGTTTTAGTTCACAGGACCTCAGTCTGTCAATCAGGAGCCATGGGGATTGATTTGGATTTGTTTGTATGCCTTTATGTTTAATCTCAAAAGACCATAATAATAATTCCATAATAACAATCCCCATAGACCACAGATTAAGCTAAACATCTTCTTTAATGTTATACTGAAAACAGAAAGGCGCCTATATTTTGAACGACCTATAAGTGAAATTAAAAGAAAATGTTAACTTTTTGGTCATTTTGTGGCAATTTAAAGGAGTCCTATAATTCTTTTTACACATTAATCTTCCATGATGTTGGTTAGAAATGTACCAAAATCAGCTCTTCTCTATTTGAGTAACCTCTGTCTCTGAACTCGGATATTTAAGCCCATATTTTAGGCCTTAAATATATTTTAGGCGTACAGTATATTCTGTAGTTTGTTTGGGGAACATGCATGTCACAAAATCCCAGATTTAAATAGATAGTTCCCTGCAAACAAATGACAGAATATACTGTATAAAAGGGCTGAAATATCAGAAACAGGGGTTGCTCAAATAGAGAACTCATTTTGGTACATTTGTGACCAACTTTATGGAACTTGAAAGTCTAAAAAGGATTATGAGGCCACAAAACTGTTACTCCATCTTCTTCCGAGGCGTGCCTTAGGGTGCTTTCACATCTGTAGTTCGCTTAATTTGGTCCGGACCAAGCGCAGTAAATGATACATTGTTGCATTTTCTGCCATCTTTGGGTCGTTTTAACACCACACTGCTGGCTTTGGTCCGAACCAGTTGAAACGAACCAAAATGCAGTCATCTGACAGAATCCACATCTCTCATTGGCCAGATGTTGTTGAACATATTTCCTAAACTGCTTATTGATTGGTCAGAATTCACGTGTGGGAAAATGCCAGTGAACTCCCGCAGGTAAACAAAACCTTTTTCTCTGGAGGGACGACTGCGCTGGCTGATTGTATCCCTGCTTTAGACAAACTATACATTACGAAAATGAAGCGCGGCCGCGGCTGGAAAACAGGGTTTAATGCATAGCTCATCACTTCAGGAGGAGGCATTAATTAATTTAGCTAAACTGCGACATGGTCATCTTGTGGAAAATTACCAACGATCCATCAGGTAATGTTTCCCCTCTCTCTCTCTCTGTTGGTACAGCGCTGTCAACGAATATTTTTCCTCCATATCCCATAATGCGCATCGGCCTAAGGCAGCTGAATTAGTCCAAAACGCGCAGTACTTTTTGCGGTTGGACCTGTTTTAGTACGGATCATATTCTCACCACAAACGAACCGCTCCAGGGTTTGTTTGAAAGCGTACCGAGACCACCTCTTCAAGCAGGTCTCGGTATGCTTATTTGGTCCGCTTTTGGTGCGCTCTCCAGTACGATTGCTGCTTTCTCACCTGCCTAAACGAACCGTACCAAAAGGGGAAACAAACTCTAGTGCGATTCAATCGAACTAAATAAGGCTGGTGTGAAAGCACCCTTAGACTGTTTTTATAAGTTGCGTTATTTATGATGTGCTAACATCTACTGACTTCCTGTTCCAATTCAATTCCTTCAGCTGTGGTGCTCCAACATACAGAAGGCCTTGTTTGAGGAGGAAGAGAAAGTCAAAAACCTTTCTCAGAAGGTGAAGATCCTGGAGAAGGCCAACAACCACCTGAGGGACAAAGTCAAGAATATGAAGCGTCTCTTGAGGCAGGCCAAACGAGAGACCAAAGAGCCCGTTCAGAGCTTCAAACAGCTCCATGAAACTGAGCCAGTGTTGCCCCATCCACAACAGGACACCACCCAGGAGCAGAAGCCCACCCTCAGGAAAATCATCCCCAAAACGCTTAAGAACTAAGAGCTGGTTGAAATTATAATGTGTTGGCGGGTCTAGACTGACACAGAAAGGTCATGCAGGAATCTAGAGAAGATGGCATATTCTTCAGAAACGTTTCTCATGTACAATGAAGCTGAGGGACAAAGGTATACAAGTTACAATGGGCATACGACTAGTTATATTGTTCAGACGGTGTAGACAAACAGTATTTTCATTTGACTATGTTGACCTTATTCTTCAATGTGGAAGTGATCTCGTTTTCGCGATTGTTTTAAAACGTCCGATTCAGTCACCTATGGAAGAAATGACTAGGAATAAGAAATGGCTGAAAACAGTCTAACTGCTTGCTTTACAAACAAGTGTGTTCATGACTAGACATTAAAAGAAGGATAATATAATAAGAAAAGACATGCATTTCAACATCAAGCAACATAACAAGCTAATTTTAACGTCAAAAATCAGAGCGACCGAATGAGACCAAAGTCTCGAGCCAAAAAGACATGAAGAATGAGGTCAACAATATCATCAAAATGCAAAATACCACTACTATCAAAAATGTGAAAACGTTACATTACACGTTTAAACCACTAGAGGATGTTTTGAAAATCAAATTATCATTAATCAATATTAAAATCAATATTTTGCAGGGATATTTTATTATAATTATTTTTATTTCTGCCTATAGAAGCAGAAAACATGCTAATCAGACGGATCATGATAAGATCACAGTGTCATGTATTTTTTTGGCCGGCTCTTTGTATAGAAATAAATGTTGGCATTGTGTAGTGACCTTTCCATTTCAGTCCACTAAAAGTCACCCTTTTCCCATGACAGAAGTCTTTCAGTCAAACCCCCTAGAAACATCAGATTTCTAGTATAAGATAGATCTAAATCTGTAGTTTTGAGATTTCTTATTAAAGTGGATCCTCATAGAGAGGTTTATTTGACCATAGAGTAACAATTTCCTGTAGAATATACAGTAACTCACTGGCAGCAATTCTCTAGTAACTTACTATAAATCAATTACTGAAAAAATACTGTACTTACATTTACAGCACCATTTATCTTGCTGTATACTGTATGTATTTACAGTTTTGTATGTCTTTACTTTCTAACTTTCCCAATGCAATTTTAAAATACAGCAACACACTGCATAATTGTCCTACGGTAAAATACAGTGCATAAAACAGTTAAATACTGTTTAATTTGCAAATATCGCTAACAGTCATGACAAATCTGGTAGTTTAGGGTTAAATTTTCTTTTTTATTTCTTGCAAATTGTCCATTTATTATCTTCTTTTGTGTGCGCTTTTGTATTTTTTTTTTTACATGCAAACTAGGTGCTGAGCACCTAATACAGGTATATGTAACCTCTACTCAGTGAAGCTTATGTTAAAGTGAAATTGTTTATCATTTTAATAACTGTACTGACAAGGTTTTAAAACTGTTTTTTTTTTTATTGTAAGATATTATCATTTTGTTTAACACATTCACATGTATGCCACTGAGCAATTAAATAAAAATCGCACTTCCTTAAATATTTGTTGATGTGAAGGTATTTAATAGGTACTGCAATTATACACTGTGAAAAAAATACTGTAAAATTGACAGTAACTTACTGTAATGTCAGTTTTGGTTGCCAGTAAGTCAAGCGCACTGTAAGTAAATAATTATAATTGTGCTGTATTTTCACATTACAATAGTAACAATTAATTTATTGTGCGCTTGTAAAAGTCTTACTGGCGACCAAAATTGCCTGCAAGTTACTGTAACTTTTGCAGTAATTATAATCATTAATTTATGGTGCACTTGTAAATGTACAGTCTTACTGGCAATTTTGGTTGCCAGTAAGTTATTGTAAATTTTATCATAAATTGTAACTGTAATTTACACCGTGCTTCCAATTGTACAGTCTTACTGGAAACCTAAATTTCCAGTAAGTTACTGTAAATTTTACAGTAAATTGTATTGATTAATTTACACTGTGCCTGCACATTTACCCAAGCTGGCAACCGAAATTGCCTGCAAGTTACACTAAATTTGACAGTAAATTGTAATAATTAAATTACAGTGTGCTTGTAAATTTAAAATCTTACTGGCAACCAAAATTGCCAGTAAGTTACTGTAAATGTATTTTAAATTGTAACTGTAATTTACACTGTGCTTCCAAATTTACAGTCTTACTGAAATCCAAATGACCAGGAAGTTACTTAACATTTTACTGTAAATTGCAATTATTAATTTACACTGTGCTTGTAAATTTACAGACTTACTGGAAAACAAAATTTCCAGTAAGTTACAGTAAATATTACAGTAAATTGTATTGATTAAATTACAGTGTGCTTGTAAATTTAAAATCTTACTGGCAACCAAAATTGACTAAGTTACAGTACATTTTACCACAATTTGTAACGGTCCCACTTTATATTAAGTGGTCTTAACTAATATGTACTTACACAGGAATTAATAGTTTGTTACAATGTACTTATTGTGCCAAAATAACCAAAATCACCAGTAAGTTACTGTAAATTTTACAGTAAATTAAAATTATTATTTCCACTGTGCTTGTAAATTTAGTCTAACTGGAAACCAAAATTGCCAGTAAGTTACTGTAAATTTTACAGTAAATTGGTATTATAAATTTTCAGTGCGCTTGTAAATTTAGTCTAACTGGAAACCAAAATTGCCAGTAAGTTACTGTAAATTTTACAGTAAATTGGTATTAAAACTTTTCAGTGCGCTTGTAAATTTAGTCTTACCGGCAACCAAAATTTCCAGTACATTACTGTAAATTTTACATATTTTTTACAGTGTACGGTAAAGCATTCTTTGTTTTTTCTGCCTTTAAAGGTGATGTGTGTAGTATATATTTGCCAGAATCATTACCCTCTCATTTTCGGTCTTATATATCTGGTTTCTGTTATATTTAGCAGTCAGCAGTCATAAGGAATGCTAAGTGTCTTTTATTTCATAGTCCAAACCATGAGGTAATGCCATACTATATAACATGAACTACATGGCAATGTTAAAATGTCCCGATTATGCCAACCCAATTGGTTTAAAGTATTGTTTTGGAATATATTGCATTCAGAGTTTCATTCAACTTTCATACAAACCTTCAGCCAAATGCCTGTCACTACAGTTAAATTTACTGAGGCCTGAGAAAGATATCCTTCTTCCTCTCAGTGTCACATCCCAGGAATTTGAAGCCCTTGGAGGAACATTGTTTCCAAACGCGTATTCAATATTGCCAGATTTCTGACTCAGACATCGAATAAGAATCATTCTAGTCCTTAAAATAGGTCTGAACTCTGCTGAGGATACCAAAGGGATCACAGAGGCTGTCTGGGTTTCTCCTCGAGCTTGAGAAACTCTCCATCTAATGATCATTTATGACTTATGCAATGTGATTCTAGGCCAAGAATGAAGTGCAAAGCGAAAACCTTTCCTCAGATTTCAGTCTGTTCTCTAAGGTTTTTTGACCATATTTGAAGAAATTCAATTTTGGCAGACCCATTGCTTGATTCTCCAATACTGTTTCCAGAAGGTTTAGACCCAGCTATTTCCATATGCTCCCGAATGGGGAATGGGAGAAGGGTTTTAGCTTCGAATGACTTATCAATTACAATGGGTTCTATTTAACAACCAAGTGAGACATTGTGGTGAATATATGAAGCAGAGACATTTCTAGGCTTTTCAAGCATCTCCAAATCAACAACGGGCATTTTTAATCGGATCCAGAGACTCTTTTCAATGATCTCTTTTAAAGCACTAAATCACAGTAAAGCTGCACCCGGCAAGAATCTGTCATTACTCCATGAACACGTCCAACTAAGATATACACACAGACTGCATTTTCAACATAAACCATGTTCTCGGCCAAGCTGTGGACCAGATGTGTTGACAATGTGGTGTGGCGCAGTGATCCTTGAAGCCTTTATGCTAATTATAGACTTTTTTTTTTCTGAGATTTTGAGCATGCATTCATTTAAATCAGAAAGCTGGTGTTGAAAGAACGGCGTTTGGTCTCAGATTTCCATTCTGGAATTGTTCATGAAAATCTAATACAAAATCACCAGTCGAGAGTCAACATGTTTAGTTTAGTTTAGTATAGTGAGAGGGGTCTGGTGCAGAGCAATCTGAGATGCATCCATTGCTTTTTAATGCGCTCACCTAACCCCACCCCTAACCCGACCTGTCACAATGACATCACTCACTCCATACTAAAACGATTCCATAGTTTGGGTGCATGGCAAGAGAATGCCCTACCTCCCATGGTGGTTCTGGAGTTTACAATGAGGCTGAAACAGTGTAAGACCCGAAGAAGAGAGTGATTGAGGCAGAGAAAATGGATATCAAATCCATACTTGTCAACCCTCCTGTTTTTCCCGGAATTCTCTGGTATTTTACAGTTCTATCATGCTATCATCACGTAAAGGTATTTCCCGTATTTCTCCTGTATTTTCAGTCTTTTTCTGAAGGGTGGCAAGTAACATTAAAGAGTCGAGCCTCCCTATACGCAACCCATACTGCCGAACCACAAGGGGCCATCACTTGTTCTTAAATGTGAGTCTGTTCTGTGCTTTCGCTTTGTTTAGGCACGAAAACACTTTGAAATAAATATAAAAACGGCGCGACTGCCTTTCATTTTTATTACAGGTGCCGTCAACACTTCTATGCAATCCTTTAAACAGTCATATAATGGTGCATGACTGTCAGCTGACGCGCTCCATACTGATAAACAGACGCTGTTTCCCAAACGGATTCTGTACTCGCGATTTGAAGCGGAGTGAAAGTATGGGTTTTGGGTGCGTGTTTAAACAGACATACACACATAATTACTAATAATAATATCTAAAGATGTCGATCTTGGTGTTTTTTTTTTTTTTAAACATAACTAATTTCATCTTAAATGAGCATAAAAGTTAGGAAAGCAGTCGAATGCTTTCATTATAATATTAGATGTGCGCATTTTTAAAGTGACACCTGTTATTTAATGCAATCAAACAAAAATAAATCTAAATAAATAAGAGATTCATTTGTTGCTCTTTAATCAGAATGTGTAAGTTATACGTAAGTTATACGTAATACGTAATGTGTTACGTAATGTGTAAGTTATATGAAGAAATGGCTAATGAGATTTGATAGCTTGATTCTATTTCATTATAACAGGTAGTAATTTTAAGAAGCTGAACTGTTCAGCCTGATCTCACGAGAAAACGTAAGTATTTTACGTTTTGGCTGTTTAGTGGCTAATTCGTACAAATTCGTACGAGTTCAGTCGTAAGAAAATGTACGATTTTAAAAAGGAGGCGTGGCACCTAACCCCACCCCTAAACCCAACCGTCATTGGGGGATACGCAAATCGTACTAAAATGTACGAATTAGATCGTACGAATTTGTACGAATTAGCCACTAAATGAAAAAGTTACAAATTGCCGTGAGATTGTGTTGAACTGTTTGATAATGTATTTGCTGCTATACTATAAATTTTTTAATTTGTAAATAATAATAATAAAAAATACATATTACTGACCATTTAACTGTTTATTTACAATGAAATTTATTTAGTAATGTTCATTGGGGGGGAGGGGGCCCTTATTATGGTGGGCATATCCCTTATTTTCACATCCAAATGTTGACAGGTATGATCAAATCACAAATGTAATCGGTAGTAGAACCATGAACAGCTTTATATGTTAAAATCAATGTTTCAGGCTTCAATTTTTCCGGGTTTGCGTACGCAACCATTGGGCGAGGCTTAGGTTTCATATCTATATCACGCCGAAACGGCTAAAGACTCGTTATCAAGACGATTCATTTGAAGCACTCTGAGTAACTCTTTTACAGATGAATCAATAGTTTTAAACACTGTCCACCTTCATATTTAAGCATAAGCAAGGTATTTCACTTTATTCAGAGCTGTTACACACTACATGGAAGGTCATTATCAAAAACCCATAATAGGGGCTCTTTAAAATAGGAGATAGACCTCAAACATGTGGTAAGAAGTACACTTTTCCAAACTATAATTAGGCTATGACTAGGCTATGATTATTCAGAAATCTCATACAGTCTTATATCTTGTCTTTGGTTTAACAAGTCATCCCCTCTTTATTTACTGTAGTTGCCGATGTACTTTCCACAAAACAGTACAATATAATCACTTGTTTTATGACAACGTTTTATAGATATAGCTTACAGTCTTGGTACTTTTGATGTATGCATAGGCTCGATTTTCCAAGCTGTGAAATAATAACCCACTCGTCAAAAGTCTTTGGTATTGTGAATGGAGACTGTGCTTGTTATGTGACTGTAAGCAGTGAGATATAGTGAACCTCAAGGTAAGTTGACCCCTGTATCCAAGCAACAGTCTGTATTTTTGTAACAAGGGAATACAGCGTGCAACATTTCTTTGTGGCAGTTAAAAAGGAAAAGAAGACGGGCTGAATATTTCATGTTTGGGGTCAAAAGAAAGCTAAACCTCTGCATGCCACGTCATTACATTTGAATTCAAATTCAAATCATTGCATACTGT